CTCTCTCTCTTGCCCCAGTTCTCTCTCTATCTCTCTCTCTCTCTCTCTCTGTCTCTCTCTCTCACCCCATTCTCTCTCCCTTTCTGTCTGCATCTCCCTCTCCCTCTCCCTCCCCCTCTCTCCTCCTCTCACTAGCACTGCGCCTCCCACCACTATACAAGCACAGCGGCAAGAGCCTTTAATGAGTTCCCGCGCGAATCAGCAATTCGAAACAGCTCGCAGGGAATTAGCCGACGCAGCCGACAAGTGACCGGTAATTGTCGGGGACGCGGGGACCTCCGGCACGCGAGGGGCAAGCACCCCGCCGCTCCCGCGCACAGGCACCCGCGGAACGTTTCAATAGTAAAACGAGAGCAATCGGAGAGATAGCAAACCTCCGCCACAGCGTAACAGTCCCCCCCCCACTTGCTGGTACACCCAATATAGTTTGATGGGGGAAATTGAAAAAAAAAGATCCAGGATTTTTTTTAATGAATTTTGAATGCGTCCGAAGTCTTCCCCACAACATTTTTTTTTAATAAAAAAAAAACCTGGATCCAGATCTGGATCCGGATGACCACCAACATCTAATCGATTGGTTGTTGGCCCAAGACCAACCCGTCCAAAGAATTTCATCAAAATCCGTCCGTAACCTTTTGAGATATCCTGTTGACAGACAAACCAACAAACCAACAAACAAACCAACAAACACACAAACTAACAGGGGCGAAAACATAACCTCCTTGGCGGAGGTAATGATGGTAAATAAACACGAAACGTATTTACTACCAAAGTCTTAATGTTTCTCTACTCTATTTCGCCTATTATTGCCGATAATTTTCTGTAAATGCCGTTCAAAGGCTCCTCTGCAATACATGCATGAGTACACCGCACGCACGCCGCTGTGCACAATCAACAATAATAATTATAGTCTAATGCCGCTTTTATACTGCGCACGACTTTAGCCCGCTTCTGAAGCGGGATAACTTTAGCTCGGGATAAGTCGTTTTATACTGCTGAAGCGGGATAAGTCGTTTTATACTGCGCAGGACTTTAGCCCGCTTCTGAAGCGGGATAACTTTAGCTCGGGATAAGTCGTTTTATACTGCTGAAGCGGGATAACTTTAGCTCGGGATAAGTCGTTTTATACTGACGTTAGCTCGGGTCTGAAGCGGACCTGACCACCCCCTAGAGCGGGATAACTTAAGCTCGGGCTAAGGGTGTTTCGACCTTTTATACTGGGGGTTATCCCGCTTCAGGTCCGGACCTGAAGCGGGATAAACCCCAGTATAAAAGCGGCATAAGAAAGAGAATCTATATTCTTGTTATTTGTGCACTGCGGCGTGCGTGGGTGGGTGTACTCATGTGTTGCAGAGGAGGCATTTGAACAGCATTAATTTTTACAGGAAATTATCGGCAATAATAGGCGAAAGATAGTAGATCCACATTAAGACTTTGGTAGTAAATACATTTCGTGTTTATTTAACATATTTTCTTTTATTGAAACGTTCCAAATGCCTGTGCTCCCGCGCCTGTGCAACCCACATGTGAGGGCTTTTTCCTGACAGCAGCAGCAGTACCTCCGCCGCCGCCGCCGCCGACGACGACGACGATGATGATGAGTGTACTTGTACACGGTTGATGCGACGAGGCGCGAGCGACCCTCGGAATAATATTCATCATTTCACGTCGTTAGCCTGATTGGGTTTCGGCGCCGGTGATGCTCGCACGGGAGAGTTTTCCTGGAGATGTAGAGATCGAGTCGGCGAGGACGATGGAGAGCGAGTCAGTCCACAGACACTTGGGACAGTCAGTAAAAACTGAAAATAATATGAACGCACATTCACAAATACTGAAATAGGACCTACTACCGTACCTCTCTGTTACAGTTCCACTGTTGCGTCACTGTATATCAACTTTCCTTCATAAAACCCTATGTAACGCCGCTGCGAGTGTGCTGTGTCGCCATGCGAATATATATATAGCTCTTGATATATATATAAAGTATATTTATATTTATATACTTTATATACTTTATATATATATTCTCATGGCGACACAGCACACTCGCAGCGGCGAGTGCGGGAGCGTTCGGCGTTAGTTTTTACATAGGTTTTGATGAAGGAAAGTTGATATACAGAGTGACGCAACAGTGGAACTGTAACAGAGAGGTACGGTAGTAGGGCCTATTTCAGTATTTGTGAATGTGCGTTCATAGTATTTTCAGTTTTTACTGACTCTGTCCCAAGTGCCTGTGAGTCAGTCGTGTGGTTTGCTGTCCACTCGCGCGCGGGAAATTATTTCTTTACCTTGTTTCGTCCTTACGCATGCACCACTCTGGCACGCACTCTCCCTTTTTTTTTAAATCTTTCTGACTGACACGTACACACAGATAAACACACGCACGCACTTACACATGCATGCACGCACGCACGCGCGCACGTATTCACACGCACGCTCACGCATACGTACACACAAGCGTGCGCGCGCGCGACACACACACACACACACACACACACACACACACACACACATGTGCCCTTGCCTTTCTCTCGCGCGCCCTCCCCCCAGGTCCCTTGTCTATATATGTAATACCGCAGGGTCCACCGAGCAGTTAAACACACACCCGACTGTATAGTTCGGCACTTCCGACCGTATAGTTCGCGTCCGCCTCGCTCAAGATTGCCCCTACCGGCTTCACATGTATAAATCGATTATCATAACTTTGTCTAGCGTAATCTCACTCTTACTATATAATACACGCTTTTGCCTCCCACACACACGATAATCACCTCCTTCCTAGCTTTACATCGTCGGGCTTCCGTCGTTCCACGTTGCCGCCTGCCATCGCTAATTGTCACCTTCGCGGGAGAAGAAGCTGTAGGAAGCTTTGAAGCGCATAGTGCGAGAGCTAGGAGGAGAAAGAGAGAGGGAGAGAGAAAGAGAGAGAGTGAGAGAGAGAGAGAGAGAGAAAGAGAGAGAGAGAGAGAGAGAGAGAGAGAGAGAGAGAGAGAGAGAGAGAGAGAGAGAGAGAGGGAGAGACAGAGGAGGGAGAGAGAGATAGAGAGAGACAGAGAGAGAGAGAGAAGGAGAGAGAGAGAGAGTGAGCGAGGGAAAGAGAAAGAGATAGAGCGAGAGAGAGAGAGAGAGAGAGAGAGAGAGAAAAAAAGCGATTGAGAGCGAGAGAGCACGAGAGAGCACGAGACACAGAGAGAGAGAGAAGGAGAGAGAGAGAGAGTGAGCGAGGGAAAGAGAAAGAGATAGAGAGAGAGAGAGAGAGAGAGAGAGAGAGAGAGAGAGAGAGAAAAAAAGCGATTGAGAGCGAGAGAGCGCGAGAGAGCACGAGACAGCGACAGAGACGTAGCCGAGAGCTTGCACTGGCCGGCTAACGATCTAAGAGACAATACGGATAACAGGATATCGGACAACGGAAAACAGAGCGCCGAACGATCGCTGTGTGTTTCATCGACGTGACGTCGCGTGATGATGCAGTGCTCAGCTAACAGTGCTGAACTAACAGCGACTCACGCAATACCCAGACGCGACATTTTTGGTCCTGAACCTTTCGGGCAGTACAGTGTACATTTGTACGTTTTATCTTCTTTATTTATTTTTTTCTTATTATTATATGCCACTATCATTATAGGTTTCAATTATAAATCAAAAATCATCAATCAAAAATAAATAAAGAAGAAAAAACGAAGAAGAAGAAGATGTACAAATGTACACTGTACTGCCCGAAAGGTTCAGGAAAAAATAATTCGCTACCCGGACAGTAAGTCGGCGAGGCAGCCAGCACGCGTCTACCTCGTGTCCACCGCAAGCGCGCATCTGAGAGAGTTCGGAGTGCGTGAGATCTCTGAGCGATCAGAGGTCCAGTACAGTTCAGTTCGTTTCGACGAATGGCCTGCCGTGTAACAACACTATACGTTCGTATAAACCTCGTGTCACTCAACTCGCCGACGGACGACAGCGACCGCTGCGTGTCGCTGCGTGTCGTGCTTGCGACGTTCTCACGCTCGCACTGCGTCCGTCTCACATGCGCACCGCATCGAACGCGTTGCTATTAACGACGATGGAAGCAGCAGCTGCTGCTGCGCCGAGCAGCGCGGAGGGAGACGCAGTGAGCGCGCGCGAGAGAGAGCGAGAGCGACAGGGAGAGAGAGTTAGAGGAGGGAGAGATGGCGGCCGCCGGAGGCTGGTGCGGCTATGACCGACAGTGCTCAGCTCAGTGTTAGCGATATATACGTATAGTAGTGATATAGTGTCGTGCGGGATAGAGCGACGATGTGAAATTCTCGTGGTGCTAGCGTCATCCGCCCAGCATCGGTGCAGCAGTAGTAGTGGCAGCAGCAGTAACGGCGGCGGCGTCATCAGTAGCAGCAGCAGCAACAACAACAGCAGCAGCAACAACAACAGCACAACAGCAACAACAACAACAACAACAACAACAACAACAGCAGTAACAGCAGGCACAGCAGTAGCAGTAGTAGCAGCAGCAGTAGCAGCAGCAGCAACAACAACAACAACAACAACAACAACAACAACAACAACAGCAGCAGTAACAGCAGGCACAGCAGTAGCAGTAGTAGCAGTAGCAGTAGCAGCAGCAACAACAACAACAACAACGACAACAACAACAACAACAACAACACTGTCGACGACGACGACAACGACAGCATCAGCAGCAACAACAACAGCAGCAACAGCAGAAGCAACAACAATAGCGTCGACGACGGCGACAACGACAGCAGCAGCTGCAACAACAGCAGCCAACAGCAGCAACAGCAACAACGTCGACAACAGCAGCAACAGCAACAACGTCGACAACGACGACAACGACAGCAGCAGCAGCAACAACAACAACAACAGAAACAGCAGCAGCAACAACAACATCGTCCACGACGGCGACAACGATAGCAGCACCAACAACAACAACAACAGCCACAACAGCAGCAACAACAACATCGTCCACGACGGCGACAACGACAGCAGCAACAGCAACAACAGCAGCCAACAGCAGCAACAGCAGCCAACAGCTATGTTTCACGCGAACCTCACCGACGCCGACCAGCCGTCGCTCGAAGCCCAAAACGCGTCGGCCGCCGGCGCGCGACTGTCGACGTCGGACGCGCTTATCGTCGCCGTGCTGTCGCTCATTATCGTTAGCGCCGTCGTCGGCAACGTGCTCGTCATCGTCGCCGTCGGCGTCAACAAGCGTCTGCGCACCGTCACCAACTGCTTCGTCGTGTCGCTCGCCTTCGCCGACCTGCTCGTCTCCACGACCGTCGCGCCGTTCGCGATCGCAGCCGAGGTGACGTCACAATGGACGTTCGGACGCGTCGTCTGCGACATATACACCTCTCTCGACGTGCTCCTCTGTACGGCTTCGATCCTCAACCTGTGCTGCATCAGCGTCGACCGCTACATGGCCGTAACGCGACCGCTAACGTACGCCGCCTCGCGGACGACCAGCCTCGCGTTGCTGATGGTCGCCGCGGCATGGGTGATGTCGGCCGTCATCACGCTGCCGCCGGTGATCGGCTGGCGCGACGCGGCGTACGGGCGCGACGAGACGCGATGCTACATCCCCAGCGCTCCCGGGTACGTCGTCTACTCGGCGTGCGGGTCGTTCTACATCCCCATGCTCATCATGTTATACGTGTACATGCGGATATTCAAGGTCGCCAGGGAGCGCGAGCGCAAGCTGCGACCCTACCGCGAACAGATGGCGGCGCGCAGCGTCTACGCCGGATTGAAAATGACCGTCGAGGCGACGGACAGCGACGCGTCGGCGAGCGAGACGCGAGAGGCGGCGGCCGCGGCGAACCACGGTCTCGGTCCGAAATTGTCGGATCCGACCTCCGAGGAGGTGGTGGAGATGTTGGCGAACCAGCGAGGAGGTGGCGGCGCGTCGTCCGACATGCTCGACCTGACGCAGTCGGCGCTGATCGCCGACGGTGCATCGGATCCGGAAGCCGACGCGTCGGCGCTCCGGAAGGGCGTGGCGCTAATCTTCGGCGCGAACTCCGGGAACTCGGGGCGACTTCCCAAGGAGACGTTGCGCCTGCGCGAACACCAGCGCGCCCGCGAGCGCGCCATCTTGCGGAAGGAAAGCAAAGCTGCGAAGACGTTGGCGATAGTCGTCGGCGCCTTCATCGTCTGCTGGCTGCCGTTCTTCGTGCAGTACGTGAGCGCGCCGTTCTGCGGCTGCCGCATCCCGCGCGCCGTCATCAGCTGCTGCGTCTGGCTCGGCTACGTCAACTCCGTCTGCAACCCGTGCATCTACGCCTTCTACAACAAGGAGTTCCGCTACTCTTTCTGGAAGCTGACCGTCGGTCACTTCACAAGCTGGGAGCCGAAGAGCGTCGTGCGCAACCGCGTGCCGGCGCATCTGCGATACGTCGCCCACTGGCGACAGAAGATCAACGGGACCGACGTCGCGGCGGCGACGTGCTAGGTAGCAAGCGTAAGACGTGTGTCTTCTTCAGTGACGATCGCTCGTGGTTGTTTCTTCTATAGGTCTATTGGGATCGTGTGAGGTGGGTCTGTGGTGTGTGTGCGTGTGTGAGATTGAGTAAGTAAACTGTGTAGGGTTTTTATCGTTAGTTGGACGCGCGTACGTGCGCGCGCGCGTGTACAGACAGCGAGGGATCGTGTAGATGCTGGAGTTTGCGCGTTGGCGTGCGTGAGTTTGTTGACATTCTGGGGCCGGTTTCACGAAGCGTGATTAACTTTAATCATGATTAAGCCACCAATCATGATTAATTTCCCGTAATTATGATTATAGTTAATTACACTTAAAAATCTGTTTCACGAAGCGATTTAAGTACATATAAACGAATCACACAATTAGCCGACTTCAACATGAATAGACTGGTACTCACTCCCCTCTCGGCTTAGTTACTCGATGGGAATCGAGTAATCGAGGTGGGAGCGAGTACCAGTCTAAAACAAATTACACTGTACTCAATATGGCGGACAACGCCAAAAATATCTGCAAGTTCGGTACATGAAAAGGAATTAATTTGTAACTATAATGACTGAAGTAGTACAGCAAATCTTAGATTTTAATTTTAGATTTAAATTTCCTTGGGAAAAAATTGAAGTAAAATTTCCAATTGTAAAATCTGCAGCGTACTTAATATACTAGTACTACCTACGTACTACTTCTAGTACTAGCAACTAATTATGATTAGTGGATTTCATCACGCTCCTGAGTAGAATTAAATATTGTGATTAACTTAATCATGATTAAAGTTAATTCCGCTTCGTGAAACAGTCACTTCAATTTAAGTACGAGAAGGTAATCATGATTAGTAATTTAATCACGATTCAATACTTAAGTACGCTTCGTGAAACCGACCCCTGGAGTGTAGGTAGACCCGTGCATGTTTCGAAGTAGGAGATGCCGGGCGTGTATGCCCGGTGTGCGTGCTGTATTACGCATTCATGACCACGTCGGCTATCCCTCCTCTGTATTTCTCATCATCAACACTCACCAAGGTGCTCACGCAAACACAGGAAATACTACACGCTCGATCCTCGATCGCTGCTTCACCAGACCGCCTATACATTACACAAGCAATCGCATTTCCCGCATTTCCTACAAAGCCGCATTTCCCGCAACAACAATGCAGACTGAGCTACTTCCTACTTTAGCCGATTACAACTGCATGCACACCGACATTTGCCCGATATGCGTCCGTTTGTCGTGGATAAAAAAAAATCCAGGTTGATCTCGATTTCATTCGTTGATTCTCGTTTTCGTTCCCGCGGGCTCACCGGCGCTAAGGGGGTTAAGTCGTACGCTCTACGTCACCGGGATTACAATTAGATTACGTGATTAAAATTCAGCGCGGCGTGGATTGCTCGACCAAGCAAGAAATACCCGCATGTAGTTCGTTGAATCGTCGGCGAATTAAAATTGAATTAAAATTTTGATTGAGGAAGAGCTCGCGACTATAAATTGCGACATCTGGCAGCATGTTTACACTGTCGTACGCGCGTTCACGGGAATATTTCATCGGTGTATATTCTACTACACAGCTCCCCGCTTTATTGGGACAATGCGGAACCCATGAAAATACCCCCTCCCAATTAAGCGCTGGTCCCGAATAAGTGGTGAAGGCATAACAATGTGCATGCACGGAGAGTCTTTTTCTAAGACTCATGTCGATTAAGCGATGCGCTCGTTTATCCGAGGTCTCACTAAAGCGGAGACCACTGTATAGTAACACACACACGTATAATATGTACTCGGGTGTACGTATGTAGCGGCTCTATGCAAACGCAATCGAACTTTAGTTGTGTTTGTAAATAATGCATTCGGTTAGATAGTTGAAGTTGAAATTTGCGCTCGCGGCCACGGGGCAACGCTTATGTACTGTTGCTATCGCATAACCCTGACAGTGGTAGAAGCAAAAGAAGGAATCGATATTTTCCGGCAGACACGGATTATTGCATGTACGTTGGACGTGCGTTGCCGTACGTTGCCCGTATTACGTTGGACTGCGTTCCCGTACGTGCCTACGTTCGGTACGTTCGTACGTGCTGACGTGCCGTACGTTCGCTGTAAGTTGCGCCGACGTTTGCGAGTTGCATGCCGTACATTTGCCTGTATCATTTGCCGTTACGTTGCCGTACGAATCCGTATAGCCATTACGTTGCCGTACGTTTGCGCGTACGCTGCGGCGTACGTTGCCTACGTTGCCTATGTTGGCGTACGCTATGCAGTACGTGGCCCACACGTTGCCTATGTTCCGCTACGTGCCGTACGTTGCCCGACGTGCCAACGCTGCCGTGACGTTGCGCACTTGCCGTTACGTTGCCTTAACGTTGAATACGTTTACGCACGGTTGTGATACGTGCCTGATTACTGCCGTACCTGCGGCACGTTAGCCGCCGGGGGCGACCTGCGCTGTTTGTGTTGTCTGGCGGCCGGTTTTGCGTTACGTTGCCGCTGGCGTGCATATATTTGCTATGCTGCTTTGTTTTTAGTGACCATCTCCTGCTCTTCGTCTGTGTCTGTCTCATGTCTCATCGTGCTCTAACCCATATCTCTCTCCTTGTCTGTATCTTGGCGTGCATCCCTTTATC